TCGAATTTCATGGATCGGCGCTGGGCTCCCCTGGCGGCGCCTCCAGCGCCGCCCTCTGCGCGCTCTGCGCGCCAGGATGGGGGTCCAGCGCTGCTCCAAGCAATCCGCGCGGACCGTCGAACGTTTACGCTTGTCTGTCTCTTCTTCCTCCTAGGACAACTGCACGCCCGGCGAGCCCGAGCCGGGGGCGAAGGGCGACCACGCGGGCGAGGCCTGGACATGCAGGCTGGCCAACCCGGCCTGCGCGTGCTCCGGCCGGTGCGACGGCGGCGCGGACTGCCCAAGCTTCCCGGAGATGCACTACATCTATGCGGCCGCCTGAGGCAGGCCCCGCTCCGGGCACTTGCGCAGAGGATCGGAGTGCATGTCCAGGTCTGCAGGGCGAGCCTGCCAGGCTCTCACGAGCAGTCTCGGTCGAGCCACACCGAGGTCGTGTGGGAAACCGCGCTCGAATGCCGTAGCGTGGCGAGGTCGTAACGTTGCATGGCGGTTGCGTTGCCTCCTTGCGGTCCTTGGACGAGCAGCTGGAGCCTGTTTGGAGCCTCTGCAGGGGTGTCTTCTCTGTGCCCTTCCTGGGGCATATGGGGGGCTTGAGCAGAAGGCATATTGGGGCCCTGTTGTATGGGGAACGAGAACGACATAACCATAAAGCTCGGAGGTCCGCGCGGATTCCTCGGAGCGCGCCAGGGGCAGCGCCGGAGGCGCCGCCAGGGGGCCCCAGCGCCGATCCGAAAAATCCGCGCGGACCTCCGAGTTGTTATGTTTGTGTCATTCTTCGTTCCCCTACCGCCCTTCCTCCGTTTGCTCCTCTTCTGGGCTTCCCAGGAGGTCCTCGTCGCTTTTCCTTCGTTCCCCCAAGTTGGGAGTCTTGGGGCCGCCTCGGGCGCGACGGCTAGAGGAGGAGGAGGAGGAGGAGGAGGAGGAGGAGGAGGAGGGATTATGGGGGAGGGAGGAGGGGGAGGATTGACGCAGAAGGAGGGTGAGAGGATTGATGGGCGGTGCGGAGGCGTATGCGGAGAGGAGGCAGAGGAGTTAGGAGGAGGCTTCCCCCCCCCCCTCCCCCCGCGGGCCCTCTGGTCGGGTCTCCGGGCCCGCCCCTGGAGGCCTGCCGTGGTGCGGGCGGCTCCCCCGGGCCACCTGGGGGCCCCCTTTTTCTGGGGGCTGCCCTTGGAGGGCCCGTCGGGGACTTCTTCGGGGCTCCTCTCGATTCTCCTCCGACTCGATTCGAGTCGACGTCGACGGCCTAAACCCCGATTCGATTCGACTTCGGACTCCGATCTGGGCTCCGATCTCCGAAGGGAGGCCTACTGGCCTGCCGATTTCCGCCGATTCGACTCCTCCCGACTCGGCCGCCGATTTCCGCCAACCGGATTTATTTCGATCGCCGATCCGACTTATCGACTCGATTATGGGCTCTCCTGCTTCTTGGAAGCAGTCCTGAGGCTCTCTGGAGCCTCCCTGAGGTCATCTTGGGTCAAGCAGCTTGGGAACCAAAGAGCGCCTGAACAGCCATGAGTTTCGTCAGCGTCTTTTGGCTGCTTGGAGGCCAGCTGTTGCCTCTTGTGGCCTCCCCGGGTCATCTTGAGACCCCTTAGGGGCATTTGGGCTGTCTTTCGCTGGTTTGGGGGCATTTGGCAGCCGCCTTGGGGCGGTCCTGGACCTCCAGACAGTCTTGTGGCCGAGGAGGGCGCTCGGGAGCAAAATCACGTATACGCGCGCGAGTCGTCGTGGGCGGAAAACATGTCCGTATCCGTGGCTTTTGGGGCCGGGATCCCTTGGCCGCGACCCCGCGGATACGGAGCATTTTTTCGAGGATGCCCTGCGCGGAACGTATTCGTGCGACCGTGTATCCGTCGGATTGAGCCACGGAGTACAGACCGCGAGGGCGCGGGTACGGATATGTTAGCAGCTCGTGAAGTAACCTGCAGCAGATAAAAACCCATTGTCGCACCTTCCTTGCTCGCTTGAAAGCGGAGGGCAGTTCTGTGCTTGACAGAATTGTGCAACGCATTGGCCGCCGCAGCGGCCAGAACTTGGAACGGTTCCGCGGTATGTATATAGGGGACAATGCCCAAGACATCATCGAGACAATTGCTGTCCGGATGCGGCTTGCGCAAGCAACAACCAAATAGTAGCCTCTCGTGAAGTGGGGAAGGGGCCGCCCCTGAGAGACTCGATTTCGCTGCCAGACTGCAGCAGGCGTTCTCTCAGGAGGAAAAGAAACACACAGACACAATTAATACTCGATTCCTCAGAAAATATGGGAAAATATGGGAAGTGGGGGGGGAAGACAGAAACCCAGAAAATAAGGGGAAATATGGGGAATAGTTTTATTTGTGTGTATTTATTTTTGTGTCCTGGGGCCCCTTCATTCTCACACGCCGCGTCGTGCCGAAGCCACGGTCGGCGGACCTGCCGGAGAGCGAGGAGGACCTGCGCAGGGCGAAGGCCATGGCGGAGGAGATGCGGCGGCACTCCTGCGGCGAGGAGGGCCTCGTGAGAGTCCCTGGCGTCAACCCCGCCGGCTGGCCGGAGGGTCTCGGCCGCTACGACGAGGTCGAGTGGTTCGGGCGCATGCTGCCCAAGGTCAAGGACGTCGGCGCCGACGCCCACTGGTGGGAGTCCCACAACCTGGCCTACGCCGAGGTGGACGAGAAGGGGCGGAGCACGTGGCTGCAGAGGGGCCTCGACCACCACGCCGGCTGCAGCCTGTCTCACTTCGTCACCTGGATGGGGGCGCGGAGCCGAGGGCTCAGCCACGTGATCGTGGCGGAGAGCGACAGCCTCCCGTCGTACTGGTGGCAGGTGTACGTGGGCGACGACGCGGAGTTCGACAGTGGGGTGCTGGCCTTGCTGCAAGACGCGCCCGACGGCTGGGATGTGATAATGCTGGACAAGGGCAAGTTCGGCGTGAAGCCAGGCCAGCCGGCGGTAAAGTCAATGACCCGCGGGTGCTGGAAAAGCCCATACAACATCTATAACTGGACCGGCCAGGGAGTGGCGGGCCTGACCCTGTACATGGTCAGCGGCCGCTTCCTCGAGAAGGTCCCGCGGATGATACACGAACACAGCCTGGACATGGTCGACGCGTGGATGAACCTGCGCTGCAACCCCGACGCGGCTGGCGGGGGCCAGCTGCAGTGCTACTCTGCTGTGTCGGCCAGCCGGGACCTGGGCGCCGGCGTGGACGTGGCGGAGCGGGCGGAGCCGCAGGTCGAAGAAGAACAGATGCTACAAACATGAACTTTCGACGTTCCGCGCGGTGGTCGTGGATCGGCGCCTGGGGCGCCGCCCCCGGCGCGCTCCGCGCGCCAGGGAGGGGGGTCCAGCGCAGATCACGTTTGCATCAAGCAGTGGCGAAGCGTCCTGGCTTGCCTAGAATCCCACCAGAGAATGTTCTGAGAACTTCCTGTGGTCTGCATGACATGCTCTTAGAACAGTGCTGGCTGAGACTGTCCTGTGTTCCAACATCGGGTTTCTGTTCTCAGAACACTGTTTTTTGTTATTCGCACATTTTTGGGCTCTAAGAACTTTTCGTGGTAGGCCTATAGGAATGCCGGGACGGTCGGCCCTGCTACTCCCCCCTCCTTTTCCTCCTCCTCCTCCATCTCCTCGTCCTCCTCCTCCTCCTCCTCCTCCTCCTCCTTCTCCTCCCCCTCCCCCTCCTCCTTCTCCTCCTCCTCCTCCTCCTCCTCCTCCTCCTCCTCCTGCGCCTCCTCCATTCCTTTACCGTGCAGATAACTTCTCCCTGTCGCATTCCGAGGCCAGTTTTTAGGGCGGGCCGGGCGTTTCGCCTGAGACCTCCTTACCATGTATGACCCTGAAGCTTCCAGAGAGTTCAAAAACAACTAGACGGGCATTCCCAGCTTCAGTCTCGCGGACATACTATAAAATCATAGTTTTCAAATCCCTTATGTTGTTTCATGCCCTGCTGTCATCGCGCGAGTGATCGTCGAAAACCTAGTTTTACAAATGGTCACGGCTATCTTACCCCACGTCTTCCTCCTCCTCTCCCTTCTCCTCCTTCTCCCCCTCCTCCTCCTCCTCCTCCTTCTCCTCCTTTTCCTCCTCCTCCTCCTCCTCCTCTTCCTCCTCCTCCTCCTCCTCTTCCTCCCCCTGGCGGAGGTTGCAAAGCGATGAATTTGGAGAACTGTTTTGGGGAGGATCTGCGAAGGTTCTCCGCCAGATCTATCCTCCAGATCTTCCGCCTGACATTCCTCCAGATCTTCCGCCAGATCTTCCTCAAGATCTTCCGCCAGATCTTCTGGCAGATCTTCCGCTAGATTTTCCGCGGGATCTTTCGCCAGATCTTCCACCATATCTTCCTCCAGATATTCCGCCAAATCTTCCTCCAGATCTTACGCGAGATCTTCCGCCAGATCTTCCGCTAGATCTTCCGCGAGATCTTCCGGCAGATCTCCCGCCTGATTTTCCTCCAGAGTTCTATTCCACATTTTCCGCCAGATCATCCTCAAGATCTTCCGCCAGTTTCATCCTCCAGATCTTCCGCTATATCTTCCGCCAGATCTTCCGCTATATTTTCCGCCAGATACTCCGCCAGATCTCCCGGCAGATCTTCCGCTAGATGTTCCGCGAGATCTTCCGCCAGATCTTCCGCCAGATTTTCTTCCAGATCCTCCGCGAGATCTTCCCTCAGATCTTCCGCTCTATCGTCATCCAGATTGATCGTCTAAATCTTCGGCGAGATCTTCCGCCAGATCTTCCGCCAGGTCTTCGCCAGATTTTCCGCCAGATCTTCCTCAAGATCTTCCGCCAGATCTTCCGACAGATCCTCCGCCGGATTGATCCTCCAGATTTTCCGCGGGATCTTCCGCCAGATTTCCCGCTTGATTTTCCGTCAGATCTTTCCCCAAATGTTCCGCCAGATCTTCCGCCAGATTTCCTTCCCTCAGATATTTCCGCAATTATTCCTTAAGCATTCCTCCAGATTTATCGCTTTGCATCCGCGTCAGGTCTTCCTTTGGACATTCCCCAGATCTCTCGACAGATTTTTCCCAGATCTTCCTCCTGCTGTTCCAGGGCGTTCCCTGTTTTGTTGTATGCCGCGTCGCGGGTCCGCTTCTTTGTTTGAATTCCTAGTGTTGTTGCCTGCCTTGCGTCGAGGCTGCAATCTCTACGGAACAATCTTGAATGTATTTCCTTACTTTTTGAATTCCCTTGTCTTTTACCTCCTTGTACAACGTGGCAGCAGCTTCACATATGGAGGGCGGGTGGTTTCCAAACTGTAGCTCTCGCCCCAGCGCCGCGCACATCTTTAACACCTTGCAAGAGTTTCACGGATTGAGGGCGGGTGGTTTTCAAACTGTGGCTCTCGCCTTAGCGCCGCGCACATTCGCCTTACAATTTGAAGGAGCTTCACGTGGTTTTCAAAATGTGGTTCTCGCCTCAGCGCGGCGCACACTCGTTTTAAACATGTGCAAGGATTTCACGGATTGAGGCGCGCATTCGTCTTAAACATGTGCAAGAGCTTCACGGATTCAGACGTTTGGAAGGGTTTCGCGGGTTCCGATGATCAGCGGATTCGCGGATTCCGATGTGTTTTGGATTGGTTCAGGATTATGCGGGTGCAACCGTTATGTTTATTCGCGGTGTAGAAGTCCCAAAAGAGGTGTTAATCGTAAAGACGCAGGAGTCAGGTTGATCCGTGGCGTTGAAATCTCGAGAACCATGTTTTGGCACGCTTCGGGGTCTTCAAGCGGTTGTCTTCCAACGAGGCAGTTTCTTCAATGGAAATGAACCGTTGCAGGGGTATGTGAAGAGGGAGTTTGGAGGGAGGTTCAATTCCAGCATCGTTGATGACTCTTTGGTTTACACTGGCCCCCCTCCTCCTCCTCCTCCTCCTCCTCCTCCTTCTCCTCCTCCTCTTCCTCCTCCTCCTCTCCTCCTCCTCCTCCTCCCCCTCCTCCTCCTCCTCCTCCTCCTCCTCCTCCACCTCCTCCTCCTCCTCCTCCTCCTCCTCCTCCTCCTCCTCCTCCGCCTCCTCCTCCTCCCTCCCTTCCCCCCCTTCCTCCTCCTTCTTCTCCTCCTCCTTCCCCTCCTCCTCCTCCTTCCCCTCCTCCTCCTCCCCTCCTCCTCCTCCTCCTCCTCCTCCTCCTCCTCCTCTCCTCTCCTCCACCTCCTCCTCCCTCCCCTCCCCTCCTCCTCCTCCTCCTCCTGCTCCTCCTCGTCCTTCCTCCTCCTTTCTCCTCCTCCTCCTCCTCCTCCTCCTCCTCCTCCTCCTCCTCCTCCTCCTCCTCCTCCTCCTCCTCCTCCCCCTCCCCTCCTCCTCCTCTGCCTCCTCCCCCCTCCTCCTCCTCCTCCTCCTCCTCCTCCTCCTCCTTCTCCTCCTCCTCCTCCTCCATCAATCATAGCGTCTCTCTTCTCCCAGGAGGCCGGCGAGACGCGCGGGGACTCCTCCATGTCGCCCCTGGACTCGGGGGCGCTCGCCGAGAGGCGGGGCCTGCTGCAGGCGGGCGGGGCGGGCCGGGCATCGTTTCGATCGCTCTCCGCTTCGATGCGATCCGACGTCGACGGCTTCTCGATTCTGATTCGATTCGACTTCGATCACGAACGAACAACACACACCCATACCCATAGGGAGGTCGTTGGGTGGAGGACTGGCTATGGGTATGGGTGCGGGTTCGCGGACCCTGGGGAGCGCTCCCGTTGGAGCGGGGACCCCCATCCGACAACACGCACCCATAGCCCTCTTCGATCCCCCTGTGGGTATGGGTGTGTGTTGTTGGTTCGTCATTCGATGGCTTCCGATTCCGATTCGAATGGCTTTCGATTCCGACTCGATGGCATCCGATTCCGATGCTGGCTCCGATTGCGCACTGGAGGCATACTGGCCTGCCGAGCTCCGCCGACTCGGCTCTCCCCGACTCGGCCGCCGATCTCCGCCGATCCGATTCGTCTCGATCGCCGATGCAACTTGTCGACTCGATGCTGGGCCCTCCTGGGAGGGAATCGCCGAGCCGGCCTGGTCCCTCAGCATGCCCGTGGGCGTGAATTTTGGGGCGTGGCTGTGCCTCGAGGACCTTCGCTGCCCTGATGCGCCCTCGGAGAAGGAGCAAAATGGTACCCCTACCTCCTACCCAGGGGAACGAAGAATGACATAAACATAACAACAACTCGGCGGAAAGGGTAGTAGGGGAAAAGGGGAAAAGAGGAAACTGGAGGAAGGGTAGTAGGGGAACGAAGACAAACATACATAACCTAGGGGAAAGCGGAGGAAGGGTAGTAGGGGAACGAATAATGACATAAACATAACAACTCGGACGTCTGCGCGGATTTCTCGGATCGGCGCCGGACCCCTCCCTGGCGCACGGAGCGCGCCAGTGGCAGCCCCTGAGGCGCCGCCAGAGGGGTCCAGCGCGGATCCGAGAAATCCGCGCGGACCTCTGAGTTTTTATGTTCATGTCATTCTTCGCTCCCCTACTACCCTTCCTCCCTTTCCCCTCTTGTGGGCTTCCGAGGAGGTCGTCGTCGCCACCGCTGGATTCGCCTCGCCATCCTGGTCAGCACGCACCCCAGGAGAGGTCTGGGGAGTGGCGGCATCGGTACCTTTCGGTTTCCCCACGCCCGTTCTTCACCACCCACCAAACCACCCCAACCCAACCCGAAGGCTTCAAATTGACCTCCATTTCCAGTGGGGGGGGGGTCGGGGAACATCGAGAAAACACATATGGAACCCGTACCCCCCCAACCCGAAATTCGGGTCTTCGGGTTGGGTTGGGGTGGTCTGGTAGGTAGTCAGTTCTGGAACCCAGCACGTACCGTAGTGGTTCGGCACGTGCTGTCACGTGCTCTGGCGAACGCATCGCGCCATACCCGCGATTTCAGTCTGCGTGTTGAGCTACGTGTCGACGCGCTACGTGCTGCGTGTCGCTTATGAGGGCCCCAATCAAGGGAGGAATTCCAGACGCGTCGCGCATCCCCACCAGCCCATCCAGAACTGATGCCCAGGGGAATTGAAGTGATCAGGGAAGTGAGGGAGCATACAGAGTCTCAAAGGGCTGGGGACCCGTCTTGCTCCAAGAGGGGGAGGATGGAGGACGAATCGGAGGATGATGAGAAGGAGGAGGAAGTGGAGGAGGAGGAGGGGAAGGGGGAGGAGGGAGGAAGGAGAAGAAGGAATAGGCGGATGAGGAGGAGGATGAGGAGAGTGAGAAGGAGGAAGATGAAGGAAAGGGCGAGCAGAAGCGCCTCTTGGGGCCTCCTGGGCGCCTCTTGGAGCCATCTTGGAGACGATCGATCAAAGAAGGGGAAGGTCGCAATTAGCGTCGCCCCTCGGGAGCCTCAAAAATTGCTTCTTGGGCCCATCTTGAGGCGCTCTTGGGGCGCTCTTGGGCGCTCTTGGGGCCGTCTTGGGGCCATCTTGGGCCTCTCTTGGGGCCCTCTTGGGCCATCTTGGAGCCATCTTGAGGCCTCGAATGGCCATCGGAAGCGAATAGGCGAGAAAGCACAAAACATTGGTTTTCCTCGGTTTTGGAGCCATTTTGGCCTCTTGGGGGGCCTCCTTGAGAGGCTCCAAGGCCACTTGGAGCCGTCTTGGGGCAGTCTTGGGGCCTCTTGGAGCATCTTGGGAGCCATCTTGAGGCATCTTGGCTTATCTTGAGCCATCTTGGAGCTCATCTTGGGCTCTCCGAGGCCCACTTGGAGCCGTCTTGGGCCATCTTGGACGCTCTAACCCCTCGCGGCCCCCCCCGTCCAGGTCCAGGGGAGGGGGTCGGGGGAGGGGTAAACCCCTCCCCGAAGGGGAAGAGGGAAGATGGAAGAGGAAACTCTCTAAACCACCTACGCCCAGAGGGCTGGTGGGACTCCCACCCCGACCCCCATGATTGGCGTTTACTCCACGCCCCTGGGCGCTTTCTGAACAACCTCCTGCCCTCTTCGACTCCTTCTTTGGCTGCGCTTGCTGAGCCGCTTCGCTTGTTCTGGTGCTCATTGTCAGGGTGGCTTTTCTGCTCTCCAGCTACCCAGAGATCCGATGTCGTCATTTTTTCAATGCAGGGTCCCCGGAAGTCTCGACCCATTCCCCGGGACCGGCTTTTCATCTTGAGTCGTTTTTTGACGGCCCCAAGGCCCGGCGAGGGCCCCCAGGGATCGAAATTTGCGAAACAAATCCGCCCTGATTTTCAAAACGTTGGAGCTTTGGGGAAGTCGAGGACTTGGGGGGAACGAGAAATTAATCAACAATTGCACAGAACACTCGGAGGTCCGCGCGGATTTCCAGGATCGGCGCTGGACACCCCTCCCTGGCGTGCGGAGCGCTCCAGTGGCGGCGCCGGAGGCGCCGCCAGGGAGGTCCAGCGCGGATCCTAGAAATCCGCGCGGACCTCCGAGTTTCTTTGTTTGGCTCATTGTTTGTTCCCCTATCTTCTGCTCCCAGGGAAGTCGAGGACTGGTCCCCCCCTTCTCCTCCTCCGCCTCCCCCTCCCTCCTCCTCCTCCGCCTCCTCCTCCTCCTCCGCCTCCTCCTCCTCCTCCTCCTCCTCCTCCTCCTCCCCCTCCTCCCTCCTCCTCCTCTCCTCCTCCTCCTCCTCCTCCTGCACCTCCACCTCCTCCTCCTCCTCCCCCGCCTCCTCCTTCTCCTCCTCCTCCTCCTCGCTCCTCGCTACTCCTCCTCGCTACTGCTCCTTCCTCCTCCTCCCTCCTCCTCCTCCTCCTCCTCCTCCTCCTCGTCCTCCTCCTCCTCCTCCTCCTCCTCCTCCTCCTCCTCCTCCTCCTCCTCCTCCTCCTCTTCCTCCCTCAAGCCACCTAGGTCCAAGCATTTTGTTTGTGCCGACTCTTGTGCTTGCTCGGAGCGCTTGAGGCACACAGAGCAGAGCCCGTGGCGGAGGCCAGTCATCTGTGACAAAAGCAGAAGTGTCAGTCCACGCTCTTTCCCTGCCATGGCTTTCTTTGAGCGCAATGCGCGGCTGTGGAGCCGCTGCCAGTGCGGGAAGTGTGAATGGAATGATGTGATCACCCGGTTGCAGGGCATTTGCACCAAGTGTAAGCGCGAGGTGACCCTGTTCACCCCCAAGAAGAAGAAGGGGGGCCTCCGGTCCAGATCGCAATCGCCAGGGAAGGTTTCGTTTGCCGACGAGGCGGAGGTGTGGGACTTCGAGGAGCAGGAGCCCGACCAATGCAGCTCTCAGAAGGGCCCGTGGTCCAAGGCCAGCTCCACGATCGACCATCTGATGGAGGCCATGAAGAGCACCAATGACCAGGAGCTCAAGACGGTGTTGAAGAATCGGATTGAGTTGCTGAAGAAGGTCCCTGCGGTATCAGAGCCGCCCCCCTCTGCCGCCGACAGCTACAAGAGGGCGGAGGGCCACTGGAGGGATTGCAACCACAAGCATGACCAGTGCGTGGCCAACGTGTGCCGTCTTCGCACGTCCTTGGCCACGGCAGAGAGTAAGGAGGAGGCGGCTGCGGAGGCTCTGGCAGCAGCCGCAGTCGCCAAGACGCGGGCAGCTGAGGTGCTCGCACGTGCTGAGGGCCTTGGTGGAGAGCAGCGGCCGCAAACTGTTCCAGAGGCCAAGGCACCAGAGGCTTTCACCGTCTCGTGGGACTCCAGCCTGTTCGACGACTTGGACAATTTGGAGTGTGAGGAGACGGAGAGGCAGGAGCTCAAGCAGATTCACGCCACCTTGTTGCAAATGCAGGAGGGCTTCCAGGCGAAGAACGCTGAGCTGCAGTCTTGGCTTGCGAAGGCTGCGAAGTCAAAGGCTGAGATCGCCAAGAGGTTGGCGGCCAAGAGGAGGAGGGTCGACAACTCTGAGGAGGGCGACGACGAGGGCGACGGCGTGTCTGAGGCTGCCGAGGCAAGCGGCGCTGGCGCGACGGCAGGCGGCGACGGTGGCGCGGGCAGCCGTGCAGGTGGCCCAGCGCCGCCAGCGGCGGCGGAGGCCCCGTCTGCAGTCGACCCCGCGGCGGCGACCGCCGAGAAGGAGGCCGTGCGCGCTGAGGCGGCCAAGATCTCGGCGGCCAAGTTCGCGGCTGCTGAGGCTGCGGCCCAGGCCAAGGCCAAGGGCAAGGGCCAGGATGGCGCTGCCGCGGCCTGACGGTCAGCGCCTGCGGCCCCGCCCCGCGATCAGCTTCGCCCAGAGGCGGAGGTGCAGGCGCCAGTTTTGTCACTAGATTCGAGCTCGTGCGAGAACGAGCCCGTCTCCAACATCTTCTTTGCGAACGTCACGGCCATGGGTGACCGTGCGTGGACTCATTATCTAGATCTGTCAGCCAAGTTCGATATCTTGGGATGTGCGGAGACTCACGTGGGGGCGAGTCAGATGCGTGCATGGGAGAGCAAAGCTCGGCAGAAAAAAACTCAGGTTGATTGCTAACGCTGCCCGACCATCAGGACGGGGCAGCCAGGCGCAGGAGGATCGTGCCAATGAAGGAGGAGAGTGGGTACTCGCACGGGGCCACCTTCATGTCGAGCCGATCGCGGAGGCCAGGATGACGGGTGCGCTCAAGGCAGACGGCAGCGACGCGCTGGATGGGTTCACCGCGTCGGTGCTGCACTTTCGGGGCTTCTCGATGGTGCTGCTGATTGTCTACTGTTTCTCATCTATTGGCCTCGCTGGCAAAAATATTTCAAGGTTGCACAAGATTGGAGGGCTGTTATGAGCCTTGCAGCTGCCGTGGATATGCTTGGGTGATTGGAACATGGAGCCAAGTGTTCTTTCTCAGAGTGGTTTTCTACGACAAGTTCAGGGACGAGTTGTGACTCCTGGCGTACAGGTCACGTGCGACTCGAGTGTGCAGGGCAGCCTGATCGACTACGCGGTAGTCTCCGAGGCCTCCCTGCCGTACCCCATCAAGCTGGAGGCCGTCATGGACGTGCCCTGGCGCCCGCACATAGGATTGGCTCTTTTTATACGTCCTTCTGGCCTTCAGCTTCTGACACGACGGCTAGAGTGTGCTGGTATATTGCCCCAGGTTTCCCGCCCGATGGTGAAAGCGACCCCAGGATCCAAGGCCTCGGTGGCCAAGAAGAAGCAGGCGGCGCAAGCTGCCATTGCCGCGGGAAAGCGTTCTGAGAACTATCTGAGTCTCTTCGGGGACGCGTTGAATTCACAAAATGCTGGTTCTGTTTTTGTTGAAGGCCCTTCCCAGGGCGAGGAAACAGACGTCCCTGGTGAGGGGGGCCCCCTTCCTGAATTTGAAGACGAGGAGGAGGATCCGTGGGCCAATGAGCCTAACTTTGGCGGTCCGTCCAGGCCTGATGAAAATGCTTGTGCGCTTGAATCCATCGTTGTCAATTCGGGGGTCTGTAGCTCTGGCGTGTCAGGTAGTCAGGTGAATGGTTACCCCACCAGCCACAGGGACCCCCCCCCCCCCCCCCAGCCACAAGCAGTGGATCGGTGAGCCAGGTGGAGCCTGAACCCTCGGAAGTGCCACAAGAGAAGGTCGAGCCTAGCTTCCTCATCCCTGAAGATGTGTGGGAGCAGCACAGGCCCCTGCATCAAGGGGACGTTGCCCCTCCTGCCCCTTTTCACTTTCTCAACTCCGTAGCCTTTCGGCTCAATCCTGGCCATGTTCATTTCGTGAGCTCATGATTTTCTCAATGGGTCAACACTGTCGAGGATATCATTTATGCTCATCACCAGGTCGTGCCATCTGGGGGCCCTCGACGGGGCACTGGATGTTCTTTCGTGGAAGAGTCAGTCAAGCAGAGCTCGCGATCTAGAGCTGCTCCTTTGAGAGATCAAGTTGCATGCTGGTGGAAACGTGTTGCATCTATCCTCTCGCAGTTCGAGCGGCATCGTGAGCGAGATAATGGTCGGTCCCAGTTGGTTCAGTTGCAGCAAGCAGCCAGGCACCTTGCTACCGAGAAGCCCGATGGAGTTGACAAGATTCTGTTGAGCCAAAAGGATGTTGGGATTCAAGTCTGGACTGGTTTGCTCCTGAACTTATCTGACACGCGTGATGTGGGGATTGCTAGTTTTCAACGACAGGCGGACAAGCTCTCTAAACGCGCTCTGCGACGGGCGGTGCGAGAGTCTTTGTGTGAATTTCGTTCTTGGGCTACTTCTCAGGAGGCCCTGGGAACGCTGCGCAGGAGTATGCGAGAAGAACCGCTACCAGTCGAGGAGGTTTGGTATGGCAGTACTGTTTTGGTGCACCCCAAGGATATCCTAGACCGTAAGGGTAAGCTATGGAAGGAGCTCTGGGCATCTGCAGGTCGACGCGGAGGCTCGACGTGGAGGTGTTCTGCCGAAGCGTCAGAGCCGAGCGGTCGACGCGGAGGCTCAGTGCCATGTTTTGCCGAGGCGTCAGAGCTGAGCGGTGGGCGCTCCTCGAACCCAACCGTCTCTCAAGTTGCCAGCGTGTTGTCGGGGGCCTCTCAGGCCACGCCATGTTTTGCTGAGGCGTCAGAGCCGAGCGCTGGGTGCTCCTCGAGCCCATGCGTCTCGCAAGTCGCTTTGTCGGAGGCCCCTCAGGCCAAGCCATGTTTTGCTTGGGCGTCAGAGCCGAGCGCTGGGTGCTCCTCGAGCCCATGCTTCTCTCACGTTGCCAAGGTTTTGTCGGATACTCCATGTGCTGCGTCGGCAGGGTTAGAACGCATTGGGTTTGCTGGCGCTTCTCAAGAGGAGCGACTTGCCGAAGCCTTTGCTGCCATCGAGGAGGCGGCGCGCGACGAGCCCATGGAGCCCACCGCCGCGGATCAAGTGCGTAGTATGGCTCACCGCATGCGTGCCAAGACAGGACTAGGCGCAGATCGTCTCTCTCCGCTCGATGTGGAGCGGCTCCCGCAGGCTGGCCTTGAGGAGCTTGCGGGGCTGATGAACGTATGCGAAGCTACACTCACGTGGCCTCATCCGAGGCAACTGGTAATCGGCAAATTGTTACCGAAGAAGGTGAAAGGAGATCGTGTTATAGGGCTCATATCGATGATAGGTCGTATTTGGTCGGGTATCCGCGAACAGCAAGTCAGAGATTGGTGTAGTCTTGTGGAGACGGAGTGGGATGCAGCCATACAGGGTAATAGTTCTTTGGTGGAAGCCTTCCACTGCACGTTAGCTGACGAAGTTGCGGGGTGGATGAAGCTTCCGACGGGGCACGGTATGTTAGATATTAAAGGGTTCTACGACGGCATCGAATGGGATCTCTTGGTGTTCGCGGCTCTTCGCATGGGATTTCCTCCAGTAGTATTATATATGGAATTGGCCCAGTGTGTTGCGGCGCGCACGTTGGAGCAATTCGGAGCAGTATGCGAACCATTCCTCGTTGATCGTAGTATTATCCAGGGGCTCAGGTCGGGCACCAGATTCGCGAAGTGTATGACTCATTATGTTATGGCTCGTATCTCTCGTACCCATCCTGCTCTCGGCCATCGTACATGGATCGACGACTTGTCGCAGAGGATGTCGGGGTCCAGGCAGTCGGTCGCCAAGGGGGTCACTGCGTGTCTGGGGGCTACCTTTAATGAGCTGGCTAAGTGGCGCTTGGATGTCTCGCCGAAGTCGATCGCGATTTGTTCCTTCCACGGGGGTGCCAAGGATATCGCCAAACGTTTGAAAGTTCAAGGGTTCACTGTTCGGCCGCAACTTCAGGGAGCTTATCTCGGGATTGACCAGGGAGGAGGCAGAAGGACGGCTCGGGCTACGCGCACTAAGAGAGTGGCAAAGCACGGTCGTATGCATGCTCGTGTCGTTCGGTATGCGCGCGCTTCACGTCAGTATACTATCACGTCCAGGCTTGAACGGCTCGGAGCACAGGCAGCAGGCAACTACGGGCAGGAGCTCCACGGCACCTTCGGCCAACGTCTTGTATCCTTTCGTAGGAGTTTGGCTGCCGCTGTTTCGTCTGGGGGCCGTGGTCGGCGTCTGGTGTCCACGCTTGCCATTAAAGCGCCTGGGCTGGATCCTGGAATCAGGTGCCCTCAGCAATCCTTGCACCTCTGGCTCCAGCAGTGGTTCGCCCGTCCGGAGATTCGAGGACGTGTGCACAAGGCGTGGGCGCGGGTGGTTGGTCATTTCAAAAGCTTGCCCCCCCATCATCGCTCTAGGTGGGTGAGGGGACCGATGCCCACGGCGATTTTGACTCTTCTTGAACGGGGATGGGATCCAGTATCACCAGTTTGCTGGATCATGGCCGACGGAACGGAGAGGAGGTTTCCAGAAGCTGGGTATTCGGACATCTCGGCTTTAAACGACGCCAAGCTTTTTTTCCAGGATTTTAACAGATCGTCGGAGAGGCTCGTGTGGGCTTCTGCTGAGAGGCATTTTTGTGGGGAAGGTCTTGGGCAAGGCATGGATGTTGTATCTCTGCAGCGGCTTCTGAAGCACCTGGAGCAGCTTCCCCGCGGGCGCAGGCTCTCAGAGTTGTTATCGACGGTAGTTGCTGGAGGGTCGTGGCCGAGGCTCCGTCGAGCTGAGGCCTCCACCAAGGTCCAAGTATGTGCGCTGTGTCCTCGGTGCAAAAGACGCAATGAGTCACCTTTTCATCGAATGTGGGAATGCGAGCACAACGTCAATCACCCTATCTATACCAAGTCGGACGAGGTGTATATGCAAGCGGCTTCTCAACATGAGTCTGCTCCAGCGTACTGGCTCCGCGGAGCCGTGCCGGCGCAGTGGACCGTGGTACCCGAGCCGCCTGATGAAGAGGTCTGGTTCCAGACGGGGCTCAACGATGGTGTTGCTGATGGAGTCTTAGGCCCTGGTGAGTGTGCCAGGCCAGTGCTGCTCTTTGGCGACGCTAGTGGCGGGGCGGATTCATCAGACGGGAGGTTCAGACGTATCGATCTCGGTCTCGCACAGATGGAACGTGAAACGGACCTCCAGCTGCAAGTATCCCTCTTTGGAGCTCTCCCAGGTGTTGTCCAGACGGTGCCCAGAGGTGAGCTGTATATCTTCTGGGTAGCCTTGCGGCTGACGGAACAATATGTAACGTATGTGACAGACAACCAGATGGTGCACGAAGGTTGGTGGTCTCAGAAATATCATCATCCAACTGGAGAGCGCGCTGAGTTGTGGGCGAAGATAGGCTTGCTGTTTCATAACACGGGACGGCGACCTGAGCATGTGACAGTGTTATTCACGAACTCGCACCTGGAGGCCGAGGATGTCGTGCATCGAGCGGGCTCTTCTTGGATGACGGTTGGCAATGCAGCAGCGGACACTTTGGCAGGTGAAGGTGCGACCATAGCTCGTATACCTGAAGCTGTCCGCACCGACATACTGGAAAAGGAGCGCGTGTTGTACCTTATCCGCATGAGGATTCTCAGGTCGCACCTCGACGCCATGGAGGCCGAGAAGGCGCTGCAGCCGACCCCGCTGAACGGTCGGCACCCGAGGCGAGGAGCTCGGGGAGGGAGGGAAGCGGTGGAGCTCGGTGAGCCTGCTGCTGCTGCTGCTGCCGACCCCCCGCCCCCTCCCCCGCTTCCGGGTCTGAATATTCTGTCGGCCTTTGAGACGAGCCATGCTCTGTCGGAGTGTGGTAGGCGCTGTCTGCGGTGCCGAGGGTCCGCGTCGGCTGCGCGCGTCTCGGTTTGGCGTAAGTCTCCGTGTTTCAGGTTAGTTGCCCTTGATAGCTCCCTTCGTGCACTTCCTGAGGGGGCCACCATTCACATTGCTGGGGGGTTTTTGGACCCCTCCCATTGTATGAGGTTTCACGCCGATTTAAAGATTTGGTTTTGTGCGAGTTGTGGGATGTATGGGGACCAGCAGATTTGCGGCCTTGGGAAGGTTTGTGTCCCCCGCCCCACCGCGACGAGGAGTGAATATCTTCGTTTGATTAGGTTGGGGCAATGGCCCAAAGTATACAGCAAAGCGGAATTAGCTCGTAAAGCCCTGAAGAGGTGTAGGTGATGAGTGGAAGGACTACGTCCAGGGACTCCAACTCCAACTCCAACTCCAACTCCTCCTCCTCCTCCTCCTCCTCCTTCTCCTCCTCCCCCTCGAGGACTGGTTCTTCTCCGGCGCCGCCGGGGAGTACGTCGACAGCGGCTGGCCCGGGAGCGCCTCGGCCGCCGCGGGGCAGGGGGCCTGCCTGCCCCCCGGGCTGCCGCGCGCCGGCGAGCCCTGGAAGTCGGAGGGCACGCTGACGAAACAGCTGGGCGAGGATCGGGCCGCACGAAGCCCAGAGATCCAACGTAACTAATTCTTGAGAAACTCGGAGCGAAGGCTTTCTGCAGATTTCGGCCCTCGCCTGGCCTCGGGGCCGTCAGAAAACGACTCTGGCTGAAAAACCGGTCCCGGGGAATGGGGACCCCATCTGGGAAAGGGCAGGGAGATTCGAAAAGCAGCGGGGCCACTCCCTCTGTTCGAAGAGCAAAGAACGGCATAGACATAGACTTTCGGCGGTCCGCGCAGACGTTCTTGGATCGGGCCGCGCGAAGCCCAGAGGTCCAACGTAATTGACGCTGTTGGTTTCGCTTGGGACATCCTCGACAACGTCTTCGCTTCGTTTGCTGTTGCTATCTCAACATCAGAAAGAAGTTGACCTCGATGGTGAACTCGTCACAGGGATGAAAAAGTTCGGCCTCCGCGCCCCGCGCCCCTGACCAAACTCTTCTTGGCCGTGGATAATCAACTCTAGCGTGGAAGGGGGGGGGGAGTCCTTTTTTATCATCGGCACAGGGTTAATTATTGAGAAAATCAGAGCGAAGGCTTTCTGCTGATTTCGGCCCCTGGGGGCCCTCGCCAGGCCTCGGGGCCGTCAGAAAAGGACTTCGGATGAAAACCCGGTCCCGGGGAATGGGTCGAGACCTCCGGGGCACTCCGTCTGGGAGAGGGCAGGGATGTTCGAAACGCAGAGTGGGGCCACTCCCTCTGTTCGAAGAGCAAATAACACGGCATAGACATAGACTTTCGGCGGCCCGCGCAGACTTTCTTGGGTCTGCATTGGGAGCCCCCTGGCGACGCCTCCGGCGCCGCCCCAGGCGCGCTCCGCGCGCCAGGGAGAGGGGGGTTCCAGCGCAGATCCCAGACATCCGCGCGGACCCTCAACGTTTTTATGTTGGTGCCTTTTTTCTTCCTCTATCAATCCTTTTCTTGGGCAATCTGCGAGGCACCGACCTGTAGCTGGGCCGAATGAAACGGGGGGACAGGGAAAGCGGGGGGGTACGCAACCTGTTGCATGCAGCTGGTTTCGGCCCCGCCGCCGGGCCGATTCCTCGATAGACGGGCGCCGTCCGGCGCCAGGAGGCGCCAGGAAATGTGAGCTGATCATCTACCCTGTCCTTTGCTATCCCACCCTGTCGTGCCCCCCGAGAGGATGCCGTGAGCGCTATCACGGAGTTCCGCAACACCTACATCACGGAGGACGACTGGCGACAGGCTGCAGCCGCTGGCATCACGTCTGTGCGCGTGCCTATCACCTGGGCGGCGTTTGCCGATGCGCTGGCTGAGGCGGCCCCGGACGCATACGGAAAGCATGATCCAGACCTGGACACCGTCATCGTGCCAGATCCGTTCTATTCTGAGTCGCTTGCATTTGCGACGATCCCCCGGAATTTCCTGCGAACGATTCTGGACAATGCGAGCAGGCACAATCTTACGGTCATCTGGGATATCGAAGGCGCCTTCGGCGAGGCCTCTCCGCCTTCGGCCTTGGTGGCAGGGGCCGTGCGGCCAAACGTTGGCCAAGAGTTTGGCCGAGCTCGTGGACGATGTGTGGCCCCACGGCTTTTTCAGATATGAGTTTGCGGACCATGGGGGGCCTCCTATCCGTAAGTTGGTTCTGGAGGGAGGGGACCTCTTAGCCCATTTTGGTCGTCAGGCGACCCGAGGGGATTTGGTTCTGGGGGGCTCGAATCGGTGATTGGGACCAACGCGTGCTGCACCGTTCCATAAGGAAATAATCCTCACGGCTAAGTTGTTTTGTTCCTGTTAGTGTTGCGTGGCGGCCCCCCAGAGGGGGGGCGTTGGATCCACTGCTTCATGGGTGGTTCTTCCAACGGAACTTACAACGGTATCTGGCCAAATTCGCCGCAGTTCTGGCAGGGTCATTTCAACATCGGTAACACCAGCACTAGTCTCACAGAGGCAGGGATTTGGATCGTCCAGGCCTTGATCCGTTGGGTTGAAGAAGGTCTCTCCCACGAGCAGCGCAACACAATATCAGGACTTTGTCTGATGAACGAGCCTGCTCACCTGAGCTGGGGGGAGGGCTGGGCAGATCAGGAACAGACGTTGGATTGGGTCAGGCGGGCGATGGATTTGTTCAGGTGGTCAAGTTTGCCCCAGCGGGGTGTTTCCTTGTATGTCAATCTCGTCGAGACAGCGTTCAGAATTTCGAGCGAGGGTTTCGAGCAGACGTTCTCGTCATGGTGGAGGGAGCACACCTCGGCAGAAGAGAGGAGCAGCTGGGCGGTCATGGACCTCCACAAGTACTGGGCCTGGGACCCGGACTGCAGCGGGTGCGACGAGTGGCGGGCCAACGGCCAGCCCGTGTGCGCCTGGACGTCCGACACGCCCGGCGACGAGGTGCAGGCGAAGCTGCGGGGGTGCATCGCTCGCTGGAGGGACCGCGTGAGCGCGACGCTCCCCGACGGGCTGACGGCCATCTCGGAGTTCTCCGCGGGCACGTGGCGCCGCGGCTCCACGGCGGTGCGCGCCCTCGACCTGACGCGCGCGTACTTCCAGATGCAGGTGCAGGCCTTCCGGGAGATCAGCATCGAGCCCTTCTTCTGGAACTGGAAGATGCCGTACGGGCCCACCTTCCAGTCGGGCTGGAGCCTGAAGTCTCTCTTGGGCATCGAGTCGGGGGGCTTGCCCAGCCAGTGCGGAGACGCTGGCGGCGAGGAGGCCACCGATGAACAGAGGAAAGCCTAGGTCCCCTCCCTCGTGGAGCTCGGGCTCGAGCTCTTGGCACTGGCTGCCCAGCGTCCTCAAGCTCAATGGTCAGTCGTCTCAGGAATAAAGTTTGTTAGTTAAGAGTTCTCAGCATGCCTTTGGATTTGGTCACCGCTCGCCTGGCTTGACCATAAACGAGTCCTTCCATTTCGGGATTTTATGCAGTATGGTTTTGATCGTTGATCACGGACTCATTGCCAGACATCGCACAGCTGCAATGAGATTCCACACTCAGATTCTTGTGACTTGTCCACACCCCTCACATCGCCCTCCTGCTTCCTTTGGTCACCCCGCCACCTGTGGCCAGCGGGTCGGCCGCGATGTCAGGCGGGCTCAAGTTCATCCGGTGCGCGGCGAGCCGTCGATCGTCGGCAAAGCCCGCGCCTCCGCGGTCTCTCCCTGCTTCCGGTTTCATCCCGCTCTTGGTGTCAGCGCTCGCTTCTGCAAGTAATTCGTGCTCCAGATGGACCCCCAGCGGATGGCATGTCTGAGGTGGTTGCCGACGACGACGACGACGTCATCGTCATCGTCATCGTCGTCGTCATCGTCGTCGACGTCGCCGTCGTATCTAATCAAGTAGCTTTAGACGCGGTTATTTCAAATTCGGGCGGCGGCACAGCTCCGCGCCTGGTGGCTCGGCGAGGTAATGTCCTCGCTCGTCTCCGGCGAGTTCCGCGGTGCCCACTTCGGGCTTCTCTGTTCCTCGGGGGCGGACAGAACCCCCACCCCGACGCGCCGAATTGGGAATGGTCCGTTTGCGGTTCTCGAGAGGGCGCCGCGGCCGCCATGTTCCGGGCCTGCGCCCGCCTGGTGTTGGGGGCCCGAGGCCATTTTTTCACCGAGCCGCGCTCTGCGGAAGGGGGCTCTGTCCATCCCCGAGATGTCAGGCGCGACGAGGAGCTCCAGAGATAGCTAGGACTGGGAGCAGGACAAAAAGAGCTGGAAGAGGTCGAGAGGAGGGGGGGGCGATACAGCGCATGCTCTTTCGCGGGGTGATCGGTGGGGGCACGGGCAGAGCCGAGCGGAGGGCACTTCGCCCCCTCCTCGGCAGGTTCGTGTCGAGGTCGGGGCGCCTTCCCTCGTTGTGCCACGGGCGCGATGGCCAGTCGTGGCCCGCGCCTGGTTCCCAGTGCCCCCGCCCCCCGCCTAGAGCTTCGGGGAGTGGCCCCTGGTTCCTTGTGGCTGCGCTTTCGCTCCGATGTCCGTGCTCTGTTGGTCATCGGGTTGATTCACACTGCAGTGCCTGCTGCGGTTCCCTGCATCGTACTGGTGTGGTTTGAAGTGGTTTGAATTGTTTTGCCTTGCTTGGTGTTGCTCTGATTGTTGCAACGCTTCTCTACATCCTAATGCCTTGCAGCGTTGCTTTGACTCGCTTTAGATTGGCTCGCACTGTCCAGTGTTGATGCTCTTCGCTTTGATCTGCCATGTTGTGCCTTGATTTGTTTGGTTTGCATCACATGGTTGTGATTGTTGAGACTTGATGTGATCTACGATGCTTTGACATGCACTGCATTGCACTGTTTGGCTTTGCTCTTTGCTTTGCTTTGATTTGCCTTGCTTCAGTTTTCTTTAAGTTGCGTTACGTTGCATGGTCGAGGTCGCCGGCGTCGCATCACTGGCCAGTCCCTGGTAGTTTGGTGGAGATGCGCGAAGCGCTGACATTTAGTGACGCTTCCGTACTCCAACCAGCCCTCTCGGAGGTCGGTTGAGAGGTTTTGGGGGCGTCTTCGGGGCCCCTTGGGCGTCTTCGGGTCGTCTATGGGGGCCTCTTGAGGGCCTCTGGGGGGGTCTTAGGGGCCTGTTGGGGGTCTGGTGATTAGCTTGATCGTGCCTTGTTAATAAGGTGTTATTCGTTGATGAAGCAATGGCACCTTGCCAGGATCCATCTGCAGTTGGCCCCCCTCTTGCTTCTCCCCCTGCCCTGTTTTTCCTTTCGTCCCCCCTCTCGCGTCCCCCTTGGTCCTCTCCAGCACCCCCTCCCCCTCCCCCCTTATGAGTTCGGCATTAAGGGCACATCTCGCAACTGTGAGTGACACTTCTGTCTACGTGGCAGGCATACCAAAGGGGGTCCTGTATCTGAGAGTCTTCAAAAGCGCATGCGTTTGCGCACTCACATGGATCTTGTGGCCACGTGTTTGACGACAGGATTCTGCGATTGTGGAGGTTACAGCCAGCCGAGAATGGAACTGATGCTCTTCCCCGTCGGCAATCTTTGCTCTTTGCTTTGCTTTGATTTGCCTTGCTTCAGTTTTCTTTAAGTTGCGTTACGTTGCATGATCGAGGTCGCCGGCGTCGCATCACTGGCCACTCCCTGGTAGTTTGGTGGAGATGCGCGAAGCGCTGACATTTAGTGACGCTTCCGTACTCCAACCAGCCCTCTCGGAGGTCGGTTGAGAGGTTTTGGGGGCGTCTTCGGGGCCCCTTGGGCGTCTTCGGGTCGTCTATGGGGGCCTCTTGAGGGCCTTTGGGGGGGTCTTAGGGGCCTGTTGGGGGTCTGGTGATTAGCTTGATCGTGCCTTGTTAATAAGGTGTTATTCGTTGATGAAGCAATGGCACCTTGCCAGGATCCATCTGCAGTTGGCCCCCCTCTTGCTTCTCCCCCTGCCCTGTTTTTCCTTTCGTCCCCCCTCTCGCGTCCCCCTTGGTCCTCCCCAGCACCCCCTCCCCCTCCCCCCTTTATGAGGTCGGCATTAAGGGCACATCTCGCAACTGTGAGTGACACTTCTGTCTACGTGGCAGGCATACCAAAGGGGGTCCTGTATCTGAGAGTCTTCAAAAGCGCATGCGTTTGCGCACTCACATGGATCTTGTGGCCACGTGTTTGACGACAGGATTCTGCGATTGTGGAGGTTACAGCCAGCCGAGAATGGAACTGATGCTCTCCCCCGTCGGCAATCGCAACACACTACCCCTGTTTGAGCCCATAACAATATGGCCACATCGATTTAGCATGATCGCTGTCACTGCAGGCGTGGCGACGTCGTGCGACGCATGCCCCCGACCTCTTGTGGTGTGTGTGTGTGTGGTTTTATGGTGCCGCCGTCCCCGCGCCTCCCTGCGTCCCTCTCCCCATCCCGCCCCCTCCCCCCTCTCCCCCCTCTCCCCCGTCTCTCGACGGCGAGCGAGGGGGGAAAGCCATTCAGGAGGGAAAAACACACACTGGCACAGTTAGTCGTCGATTCCCCAGACAACACGGGAAAATATGGGAAGTGGGGGGAAGACAAAAGCCCAGAAAGTATGGGAAACTATGGAGGATCCTGTTATTTGTGTGTATTTGTTTGTGTGTTCCAGGGCCCTTTCAGTGAGAAGGGGCGGGCCTTCTCAAAAGGCTTGGAACCCCCCTGGACTTCTGAACAGTTTTCGAAGGCTCCCCCGAAGACACAGAACGCTCCTCAGAAGGCGCGAGGGCTTCTGAGAAGCCCCGCCGCCTTCTGAGAAGGCCTTGTCCTTCTCGTTTCCCCCCCTCGCTCGCTGTCAAATGTCCCTCCCCGCTACTCTCGCCCCCCCCCCCCCCCCGACCCCCTCCCCTCCGGGCGCGAGGTGAAGCACACTCACCTGACCGAGGCCCGCCGCCCTCGTTGGCTGCCCCTCCCTCTGCCCCCCGCTCCTGCCTTGCCCCGACGACGATGCACACGCGACCCACCATCAGTCGGAGGCGGACAGAACCCCCAACAGGGACACGTCGATTAGTGAATTGTCCGTTTTCGGTTCTCGAGAGGGCGCCGTGGCCGTTACTTTCCAGGCTTGCGCCCGCCAGGTTTGGGTCTCAGGTCGTTTTCACTAAACCACGTTTTACTAAAGGGGGATCTGTCCATCCCCGAATCAGGGCTCTACGCTTCAGTCGGGCCTGTAGGGGGACATGCCCGACCTGACTCTACGGCAGCTTCGTGCCGCGTCGACCGGCGGTGACCTCGCCGTCGGCGTCCAGCGCCGAGCGCCGGCGGCGGCCCAGGATCGCTCGAAGCCGAACGGCTCGACGCTTCGGAAACGGACGACCGCTCAAGACAGGGATCCCCGCGGTGTCAGGAACCAGCGCCGAAGTCGGCACGACGCGGACTTGCCGTGCCCGAGCGGTTTTTTTTTTGGGGGGGGGGGGAGCGACCTCGTGCGCTGTGTTCGCCTCGACTCCACGCTGCAAGCAGAGGTGGAGCGGTGGAGCTGCCCGCCACCTGCCTCACTGTTGGGAGGGTTGGGATGACGGTGTGCGACGCCAAAGCGAGAGGCACCTTTTGAAAACCGTTCGCCCCATTCGTGTAGCTGGTGGAAGCATTGCATAACGAATGTCTACGGCGCGAAGGCAAAACACGAGGTTTGAATCCTAATGTCCAGCATCCGTGCAGGTGCGGGAGCTTTTAGGACGATTGTCCGCGGTGCTCGGTCGGAGACGGTAGCCGCATTCTGAAATCCGGCCGCCCTCGATTGATGTAGTTGTTTGGGTTTTCCAGTGTGTGGGCCGTCATTTGTGAGGCAATCCGCTGGCGAAACGCCTGGCTCGCCCTACCTGTGGTGAGACGAGGTGGAGTTACATAGCAGTGAACAGGGATTGGGCGTTGCGGCTGGCGTCGATTTGTGCTGTCCTCAGCACTGGTGTCTGATCTCTTCTCTTCCCTCCCCGCTCCTTCGAAGCCTCCGTGGCCAAAAGGGTCAGGAGGAGCAGCCCCTTCCCCCATGCTCCCCCCGCTCCTCTCCTCGGTGGAGCGGCGATATCGGTACACTGTTTGTCTGGGGCCCCCAGCCGGGTTGCGCAGCAATTGGAGAGCGTACTCCAGATTTCGTAATAAAAGGGAGGGGGTCTGGACCCTCCAAGACAAGCCATTTCAGACCCCCCCCCTGGGAGAACCCTCCAAAACATCGTCCCCAGACCCGCCCAGGCCCTCCAAGATAGCTTGGGAGAGACCCCCCCCGAAACGAGACCCCCCTCCCTTTATGACGAAATCTGGAGTATGTTTTCCTGGCGATAGCGGGCGTTACCGGGAGGGGTGGAGGCCGGCGGGGGGCTGGATCGCTACGTTTGGCTGGTTGAGAATCTTTGGGAATAGCCACAGGCACGCCGCAGGTCTGCACGGATCGTGCCGTTGCCTGGAGGGAGGGGAGGGGGGGGGCGGCCGAGGACGGTAACGGCCGCTGCCGCGCAAAAAAAAAAACATTCTCGAGCAACTCAGGCGAGCCCCCCTACGTCTTCGAAGCTCAGTCCTGACACTGCACCGGCGTGCGCCAGCTTTTCGTAATCGACGACAGAGCGCCGATTTGGCGTGGTTTAGCGTCCATGTAGCGTCGCTCATCGCCGGTCCGCGGCGATTCGCAACAGCGAGCAAAATGACATGGGAGGCTCCCACGAATTGCCACCGAGGACGGGGTTGGAGGGCGGGCGCCGCGTGCCCGAAGCAGCGGCGAGGCGGCGCGCGTCGCCGGTGCATCTCCCGGGCGTCGGCGATGCGGCGCGACCCTGCGTCCCCAGACGTGCTGGCGTCTCGAAGAGATTGGGACGAGAGGCTTCTCATATCAGGAGCGAAACAAGGACGTACATGTACATGAATCCACGCTGGTTTCGAGAGCACGCATTGCACAAATGTTCGTATAACGCGGCGGGTCTCGCGAATCGAGGGGCCGTGTTCATGTAGATAGCTGGGCGCGTACGTCCTTTGTGGGCTCCCTGTCATAGTCTTCGGCCCCGGGGAAGTGGGCGAGAGGTCTGGGGACCGTGTCTCGAGCTGAGCGAGACGCCGGATGTCGGGGTCCCTATCTGCTCCAGGCCTGCCTGGGCGGCCTCCACCGGAGGAGCTCCCGCGCGGCGTGAGCAAGAGCCACGGCCAGCATCTCCGCCCCGCCGCGCGTCACGGCCCCCTGGGGCCTGCGCGGAACGATCCGGCCGAACAGATCGGGCACGGCGCCAGGGTCGTGCCGATCGCTGATCCTCAGGACGTGTGCTAGCCTAGCACAGGC